AGGGGAAGTGGGAGGGGTAGGGGAAAGGAAAGAAGAGAATGGAATTAATATGAGGAAATGAAAAAATGGAAACAAAGTCTTTGTAAATAGGGAGAGATGGAGGGGTTGAAGGGAGGGTAGGGGAAGGGGGAAAAATAAGAAGGAAGAGATTATGTAAAGGTGCACATCTCCAATGATGAATGTCATTATGTTGTACACCTAAAATGTACCAATAAAACGATGTACAAAAAAAAAAAAAACCTAACACCTTGCTGTAGAGGAGAAGAGAGTATTTCAAGACTCAGAGAGGCTAAAATAAAGTTCCACGAGGGCAGAGATCCACACTAATCACAGACCTGACTACACATGGAGAACACAGGAACACATGGTTTGGAAATGCTAAGCAGAGGAATCAATGCAATCAGCAGGGAGAATGACAAAATGTAAAAATAGGTGCATGTGGTGGTGCATGCCTGTAATCCCAGCACTTGGGAAGCTGAGGCAGAAGGATCACCAGGAGTTCCAGGTCAGCCTGAGCTACATAGTGAGTTCAAGGCCAGCCTGAACTACAAGACTCTGACTCAAAAAAGGTAAAAATTTCATAAAGAGTTTATAATTATAGACTGACTATCCCTTCCCCGAAATCCTTGGGATCAAAAGTGATTTTGAGGGCCGGGGATTTGGCTCAGTGGTTCTGCCACATGCCTTGCAAGCGCAAGGTCCCGATCCCCAGGACTGAAAAAAGGTGATTTTCATTTTGGAGTTTTTTGGATTTTGGAATATTTGCATAAAGGTTACTAGTGTTCTAGATATATATTCTAGGTTACTAGACTATCCCTAATCTAAAAATCTGGTATGAGAACCTTAATCTAAAAATCTGGTATCAGAAATGATAGTTCGCAAATTTTAGATTTTGGACCATTTCCAGCTCTCAAATTAGAGATGCTCAACCTGCATTATATGAAAATACAAGTCTGAAAAAGAAAAGTTAACCTAAGAAACTACCTCCACATTTACCTAGGAAATGGTTCAACCAGAAGTAGAAATTACACAGAAGTAAAGTTATACTAAGACATTAACATTAAATAGGATTTATTATTTTTCTGTCAAAGATCATCAAAAAACACATACAGAAAGATAAAGAATTACAATAATCTTGGCAATTCAGTTGATTTACTACTATAACAGCATTAGAAATAAAAAGACATGACTTAAACTTTAAGCTTTTGATATAGGGAATTTGTGTACTTTGGATTTTAACTATGAACTTAAGCAATTTAAAAAGAAAAATTTGAGAGCAACTTTAAAGGAAAAAGTAATCTTTATTGATCAAATCCTACTTTTTGTCAATTTGTATAAACACTGTTACACTAAGACACACACAATTCTGAAAAATGTTCATGGTAACACTATCTAAAATCCAACAACGCTTGAAATAGTTTGTTTCAATAGCAACCAAGGTGAGGGAAGAGAGAATCCCTTCCATAGCTCTAGTTCCATTTTACCTCCAGTCAGGAAAAACAAATGGAGGTAAGACATCAGACTGGGCAATCTGATGATTCTTCTCCAGTCTCTTGTTTCTAGCCTTCCTATATGTTAAATTCTTATGATAGTGTGATTCTAGTCTGGAATGTTTTTACTGATCTGTTCATTTTTAGAGATACATCTTAAATACATGACACATGAACTGTACAAAAAAATTGGCATAAAAAAAAAATGAAAGCAGAACCCAGAGAAGCTGTATTTACAGAGTCAGTGCAATGGGAAAAATACAAAGGATTGTTCAGAAAAGAATACAGCATCAAAAATACACAAAAACGTTCAAGATTTTTTTCCTTTGGGGCCTGGAGATACAGCTTAGTGGTAGAACACTAGCCTAGCATGTCCAAGGTCCTACAGTTTTTTGGTTGGTAGCAAAGATTTACATTTATTGAAGGTGGAAAAGGCATATGTTCTGCCACAAAGTCCTAGGTTTGAACACCAGCACCACCACACAAATAAGAAAGAAAATTCTCTAAAACTGATTAAATTTACAATTAAATTATCTAAGAATCTACTTTGCATTTATGAGGTAAGATATACTTATCAAATACTACAATCAAAATGAAACCCATCATACAATTTAAAAAAAAGAGTAAATACAGCCCAGATTCTCTATCCTTCAAGTTCTGCTACAGTGTGAACCCTTTATGTGACACATTACCAGAAACAACTCTGCTTACCTCATGTTCCGAAAACAGTGCTTTCAGTTGCCCCTTGGACCAATAATCCAAAGCATATGCCAAAAGCCGCATGGCGATGGTATTAATTCTCAAGAAATTTCCAACAAATACCACCTGGTTAATGTTCTGAGCATATCAAAAAAAAGACAATTAGTTTGCATCTTACTGTTTTCTCAAAAAAAACCTACATCCAACAGAATACCATGCACAGTTTTTAGCAGCAAAGCCACTGATGGTCAAATTTAATCCAGTCGGTTAGTGCTACTGAAATTTGATCCCCAGACATCTCTGGATCCACTGCAAAACCATGCCCAAATATGTTAAAGAAGAAAACAGATTAGAAGAAATATCTCTGTTAAATATGACAAAGAGTAAATACTAATTGAAATTTTTATACAGGTTAAATTAAAAAGCAAGCCCCAATTGAAAAAGGAGAGTGAAGGGGCTGGGGATTTAGCTCAGTGGTTCCGCCGCCTTCCTCACAAGCGCAAGGTCCTGAGTTCGATCTCCAGTACCAGAAAAAAAAAAAAAAGGTATTAAAAACGGAAAGTGATGGGCTGGGGATTTAGCTCAGTGGTGGTGCCGCCTGCCTCGCAAGTGCAAGGTCTGGAGTTTGATCCCTGGTACCAAAAAAAAAAAACAACCACCAGTGACACAAACAAATTATAAAAGCTCTATAACAGATAGAAAAAATTCAATTTTAGCATGATTAAAGAAAGCAGAATTTCAAACCAGGTTCACCAAAAAAACCAAAAAATTGAAATCCAACCCCCAACATTGGTAGAACTGCAGTAAAACTGATCTATCCACCCACTGCTAAGGATGACCTAAATGGGCCCAGCCCAGTGCAAAGTGCCCTTACAATGTGCACCAAAATCAATAACCACAGCCACACTGTAAGACCACACATCTCACTGCTGAGTCCCTTATCAAGAATAAAATTGAGGGCTGGAGATTTAGCTCAGTGGTTCCGGCGCCTGCCTCGCAAGCGTAAGGTCCCAAGTTCAATCCCCAGTACCAAAAAAAAAAAAGAATAAAACTGAGCCAAAGAAAAGCTTCACACTTAAAAATACTTACTGCAGAGTTATTACTATAACCAATGCCCAGCTGTAAGTGAATAATTTATGATATTAAAGAACCTGATCAGTGAAGTTATAAATCTATGCTAATAAAAAACTGATCAAATTCAAATCCATGAAATGTATATTTAAGTAAAAAACAAAATGGTATGTATACCAACTAAAATATCCTAAAAGACATAACCATAGGAAAAGGACCACGCAATAAAAAAGACTCAAAGAAAATTTTAAATTATTTGATCAGATACAGTATCTTTTTAATTAAAAATGAGACAAATCCTTTTGTGTCTTTTGAGGTTTCCTTTTAAAATTTATACCTATATTATCCGTTTAAAGAACAGAGACAAGCCATAAGTCTGTACCAACTAGCCCCTAGCTCCTCTTTCCCCAAGGGCAGCCCATTCTTGGTTCTTTCATAGCCCTGTACAATGCTGCTTGACCTGAATGCTACAAGGCAGCACTGTAAAGAAGCTGAAAGCACAAAGACATAGCTCTGGTGAGGTGGAGGGGAACCCGGATGGGCATACATCACCCAATAAGTCTTCCAGCTTCAGTGACTTCCTGTGGACTCCTTCCCAGGCCTCTACAGCTCCCAGTGAGCCTGGAGTTGAGATTCAGCATCATCATTCCCACAATCCCCATCATCAGAATCTGGCAACCTTCCTACTTTCCTCTACTTTCTCCTCAAAAGAGGTCACTTTACCTCTAGACAGTAGCCATGCTTATCTTCAGTAAATCAGTGAAGATTAACCTGTATGTGAAGAGTTTTAACTTTACACTGAAACAAAGTCTACATGACACAACTACATTTAGGCACTGTTCTGAAGAGCAGACAATGTCAAAGGTGGAACCCACTTAGGAAGTTCAGTATTTCCCTGAAAGCAACAAAAGAAACCCATATTCCCTTACTTCATTAAGAGCACACATTCTTGCTATGGAGCCAATGTTGTTGGTGATAGTGATCAAAGTCGCTCTGGCGAGGTCCTCCTTACTGACAGCCTCTCGCTTCTCCTTGCTCATCATGTTTCCAAAGCTGTGATGGGGAGGAAAAAAAAGAACATCCCATTGCTAAACAGAGTCAACAGAGCCCAGCTGAACTTCAACATTACTTTACTGAGATAAAATTGGCTTTTTAGGGCAACAATGTTCAAATCTTCCAACTTTTTATTACCCAATGATAGAGCATCTGCTCAAAGGGAACTCAGCTTCAAAACAGCCTGCAAGCTCTCTAAGTGAGCAGGTGGCTTTCCCTGTGCCTTCTACTGAAACCAGCACTGGCATAACAGTCCCTCAGAGTCCCTCACAGTCCCACAGAGGTTCACAGTCAGCCAGCATCTCATCAGATTTGCTGAGGGCACCACTGCCCCATCTGCCACCAGAGACAGTCTCAGGAAGACACACCTCTGTCAGCAATCATCCCAACTGCACAGCTGTTCCACTCAGTTGGTCACATTTACATCTGGTAAACTGCTTCATCACAGCAAAGCAAAGTACAGACAGCTGAGCCCTAGAACAAGCCCCTGAAGTTTCAGATTTCAGGGCCAGAAGTGTAGCACGCACAAGGCCCTGGGCTCAATTCACAGCAGCACAAAAGGAAGAGGAGGGGGAAAAAGTGTTTCAGATTTCCCTAGAAGATAAAGTAATCAAAATTTCTTGATAAACAAAATTGCTACATTAATAGCTGACCAGAACATAAACCCAGCCAATCAGAAAAAAAAGTGAGGCTAGGGATTTAGCTCAGTGGTCCCACTGCCTGCCTCACAAGTGCAAGGTCCTGAGTTTGATCCCCCGATACAGAAAGGAAAGAAAGAAAGGGGGGGTGGGGGTGGGGAGGGGTAGGAGAGCGGGAGAGAGAAAGAGAAAGAAAGAGTAAATGCTGCAAACTTAAAAAAAGGAAATCTACAGTATTTACTAAATGTCTAAAATTAGTAACAATCATGTATGTCTTTTCTATTAAAAGAAATATGTCCCAACACATATAAAACAACTGTATTTCAAAAGAAACTTGAAATACAGAAAATTCCATTTATAATAGCAAGTAGAATAAAACGTTTAGGACTTTATTTAACAAAAGTATACTTAAATCTATCAAACACTGTTAGAAGAAAGCAAAAACCTAAATAAATGGAAAGATATTCCATCTTCTTGGACCAAGGACCTGACAGTGTTGAGATGGCAATACTCCCCAAACTGGTCAACAGATTCAATTGCTATCAAAATCCCAGCTGTATTTTTTCCAGACACTGCCAAGCTCATCCTAAAATTCTTAAGTAATTTCAAAGAGTGCAAAATAGCCAAAATAATCTTTAACAAGAACAAGCTGGACAACCTGGGGACTGTGGGGAGCTGGGAGGTCCCTGCCACACTTGGAGAGGCCATGGGGCATGCATCTGCGGAGCTCGGGTTGTGGCTGCTTGAGCTGTGGCTGCTGCTGTGCAGCTGGGGGTGCCTCACCAGCGCCAAGCTGAGAGCCCCGCCAGGTAAGATCACCATTATTGGAGCTGGAATTGGTGGCACTTCATCAGCCTATTATCTGTGGCAGAAATTTGGGAAAGATGTAAAGATTGATCTATTTGAAAGACAAGAGGTCTCTCCACAGTTCCAGCTTCAGGTGGCCTACTGGGGGTGTACAATGGAGAGACTCTGGTGTTTGAGGAGAGCAGCTGGTTCATAATAAACATGATTAAATTTTAAAACAAAAACAAGCTCGAAGACTCACTTTCTGATTTCAAAACTTAATATGAAGCTACTGTAATCAAGGTAGTGTGGTACTGACATAAGGACAGATATACAGGTTAACAGAATAGAATAAAAATCCAGAAATGAACCTAAACATCTACACTTGACTGACTGTTGACAAAGCAGCCAAGAGAAATCAACAGGAAAGGAGTGGTCTTTTCAACAAATGGTGCTGGGACAACTGGATGATCACATGATAAAGGAATTTGAAGCAGTACTTCTTACCACACATAAAAATTAATTTGAGGGGGGTAGGAGTGTAGAGTACTTGCCTAGCATGGGCAAGACCCTGGATTCAATCCCCAGAACTATAAATAAAATTTTCTTAAAAACTCAAAATGGGGGGCTGGGGATTTAGCTCAGCAGTTTTACCGCCTGCTGTGCAAGCGCAAGGTCCTGAGTTCAATCCCCATTACCAAAACAAAAAAACATTATGCTAAATGAAAGAAGCTGGTCACAAAAGATCACAAACTCCCCACACCATTTATATGAAATACTCAGAATAGATAACTCTGGCTGGGGATTTAGCTCAGCGGTTTCACCACCTGCTGTGCAAGCGTAAGAACCCAAGTTCGATACCCAGTACCAAAAAAAAAAAAAAGAATAGATAACTCTAGAGACAGAAAGTATATCACCCCTGGGGTGAAGACAATGCTCTGAAATTGGATTATCATTGCAAAATTCTGCAAATACACTAGAAATCACTAAATTTTACACTTTAAACAAATAATTTTATGGTACATAAACTAATTCTGAAAGCTGTTGCAAAGAAGGCACACTCCTTTACCTCGAAGCCACGGCCCAGCCTGGCAATCCAAACCTCTCATAATCTCCTCCATAAATGTCTCGCACTAGTTTATCCACTTTGGTACTGTCTCCACGAGATGCCATTTCAAGAGCTTCTTCAAAAGTAGTACAGCCAGTTAGAAGACAACAGAGACCAAAAAAAGTTCCTCCTCCAAGACTGTCATTAAAAAGCAATGCAATATTATTTATTTTTAAACAGGAAAATAAGATTTATAAACCCCCATATTACCTTCATATATCAATCTACTCTTGTCCCAAGACAATCATCCAGGTAAGGAACAAGTCTACAAAAAGATAAACACAAGTACTTCATATACACCCTGAATGTACATTTTTTTTTTGGTACTGGGGACTAAACTCAGGACCTTGCGCCTCTGAATGTACATGTTTATGTGAGCCAATAAGCAAGTAGAAAAGCCCAGGGCTGACCTTTCTGCCAGTGTTTCGGGTGCAGTCTGGGTGCTGCCCGGTACAAGCCCCTCAGGTGCAGATCAGCCGACAACCTTAGGGGAGTCATGCTGCACCTTCTCCTTTCCCCTCTTCAAGTGTATCCCCTGAAGTCATTCTCATTCAAGCACCTTGCTGCTCTGGCTCACTCATTACCCCCACCCACTAAGACACTTCCATCTGTTGCCTCCAAAAAATAATTCTTTCTATTCTTTAGCTCACATCTGTTAAAAATTTGTTTATCCAAAACCCCAAATCCCTATTTTTCCTCAAGCAACTTCTAATTCCTATGCCAAAACATATTCATTCCCCTCTTCCATTTAATCTTCTCTTCAGATTACCCTCCCCTGATCATTTTTCTATTGATCAGAACCTAAACTTCTACATCTGACAACATTCCTTGGCTATGTGTCCATCCATGCATGTAGGAGCACATATATGTGTAAATGTATAAAATCTTCAGGTTTCAAATCTAGGACCTTCCCCTGCCTTCTCTTATAAGACAATACCTAGTACCATCTGGGTGCATGACTAATTCCAGCACTCAAAAGGCTAAGGCAGTCCTGAGCTACCTAGCAAGTTCAAGGCCAGCCTCAATCACACAGCAAAAAACAACACTACCTAGTACCTTTACTACTTTGTATATGCACACCACAAATTATCTGAGAGCAAAGACTATGGGTTTAATAAGTCTGTTAATGTAACATTTTATCAAACAACTATGGTAATAAAATCCTAAACAGAAGAAATTAAAGTAGGTCATAGGGCAAGGATGTAGTTCAGTGGCATAGCCCCTGCCTGGCAAGTGTGAGGCCCTGAGTTCAATTCCCAGTACCAAAAAAAAAAAAAGTAGGTCATGAAATCAGAATTTTCAAAGAAAAACATGTTTTGCATAATCCCAGAAAAATTAAATCTTTCACATAACTTTAACAGGCTCTTGAAACTATAGTTATGTGTAATACCTGGAAAATTCAGTTTTATGATACAAAGAATAAACAATGACTTACCTAGTACCTGTAACCCTCTTGTAATTATCTTCGGAATATACTGCTAAGATGCTAACCCCTGAGCCAATGTTCACCAGAAGCAAGGGGTATGGATTTTTCAATTCAAATGGCAACTTCTGACATTTTTCAGAATCAGCAGGGTTTTCAAAGTAGTAGCACTGTGACCGTCCATTGAATCCCACTGAGTCAATGTATAAAATTCCTTTTATTAAGCAATCTAGTTCATCCAGTTTGCAAAGCTGAAGATCACCTATCTGTAATGAAATAAGAATGTATTCAGACTTTAAAACCCAACATAAATTTTTACAATTTGCTTGAAAAAAACATAAACAAACCATAAAGCACACCCACAGGTATTTACTGTGTGTATGCTTTTACAGAACAGATTTGAGGACAGCGAACATGGAGACAGACTGCCAAGACAGATTCTGCTCCCACAGACCCAAACATACACTACACATAAACCACTGTGGCATTTAGAGATGGATGTCAAAAATGGCAAGCGAGGACCTACAGACTTGCCAACTAGAAAACAATCTCCAGTTGCAGGGACACTGAGGTAGATGCACAGCTGAGGCCAAGGCTTTATCAGAAAGCACCTGATGACACATGGCAAGAGCCAGAAAGACCCTGTCATCTCCTTTCCAAAAGACTGTTTTCAAGGTGAACAAGTAGTAACAAAAGAAGCTATACCTTGCTACTTAACAACCAACCTGAAGCCAAAAGGCTGCAACTGTCCAATTAGCAGGAAAGATTTCTCATTCCCTATACTGATGACCTCTTGGGAGGGCACAGGTTAGCAGTATCAAAATTTAAGCCATTTTGATCAACTTAATTCTTTTAAAATAATAAAGAAATGGTAAGGTTTTTAGTCATGATATAGAATACAATACAGCAATTAAAAATGAAGACCTATAGGAACTGAAAGTGGAAAGACTCTTAAGACATAGTTCAGTCAAAAAAGCAGGTTGAGAACCATTCTATAAAACATGATCTTCGGAGTGGGTACTGGGGATTAAACCCAGAGCTTTTACTCTGAGCTACATTCCTAACCTTTTTTGTTTTTGTTTTTAATTTTTGAGATGAGGTCTTGCTAAGTCATTAAGTTGCCCATTCCAGGCTCAAACTTGTAATCCTTCTGCCTCAGCCTTCCAGAGTACTGGGATTACAGGCATGTGCTACCATACCCAGCTCAATTTACCTATTCTTAAAACCACATTTATATCCATACATAAATGTCATAGTCATTCATTAAAGAAAAAAAGACCTGTAACTTTTCACAGTGGTGACTTTGGATACATACAGAGCAGTTGTGTCTCTATGAACTTCCAACCCGTTGGGATGTCTACAAGCACACACATTCAATGTGCTTGACAAAATCAACCAGGCCTCAACCCTCTGAAGCACCTGATTCTGTTTACAACCAAGTTTATCCCTGAAAATTCTCCCTCTTTAATTCAACTCCCATTTGATCACATTTACATTCAATTTATTCCCATCCACTGCGCAAGACAGAAAAGTTAATAGGTAACTTCAAATGAATCCTTAATGAGTCCCTAATAATACTCAGTTACCTCTGAGTTACTTCCACTCCAAGTCCTGTGGGTTCTTCATTTTATCTGCCACTTCACATCAAGAATTTTATGTTGTTTTCCTGACACCTGCAGATCCAAGTGCCAGAATTTTCATTTCTAAGCCAAATCATTTTACTGTGGTGGCATAATCTAATCCCTGTAGTTTTCTGACACTGTCAAATTAATTTCTTTTATTTATTTCTTTTCTTTTATCCTCCCCATAATTCATATTATCCTAAAATGTCCTGCTGTACTATTATGAATGAACCTCGCCTATACATTTAATGACTAAGTCCACAGGTAATTTCACTAACCCCAATTACTCAGAATATAAAGTTAGCACAAATAAGCAAGCTCAAAATAAAGAAAATCTGATTCACATTAAGAAACACAGTACTTTGTGGGCCGGGGATTTAGCTCAGTGGTTCTGCCACCGGCCTCGCAACTGCAAGGACCTGAGTTCGATCCCCAGTACCGAAAAAAAAAGGAAACACAGTACTTTGAAAATGTTTCACCATGGTTTATTAAATTCTAGTCACTCCTAATGCACAAACAGGGTTGTTTTGTGGTACTTGGGACTGAACCCAGGACTTTCACACAGAGCTACACTCCAGACCTTTTTTTTTTTTTAATTTTGCAACAAAGTGTCACTACACCACTAAATTGCCCAGGCTTGGGATCCCCCTGCCTCAGCCCCCGAGGGTTGGGATTGCAGATGTGCAGCATCATACCTAGCACCCTCTCCTTGGATTACTATACCATGTTGAATCTCTGCTAACAGCTTGAATGGTTTCCAAGTATTTTGCAAAGGGTGATCTGCAAGTTCCTGGAAATAGGTTTTCTCCTCTACCTATCAATTATGATCTATGGTCCACTAGGAGGCTTCCAGAAAGAACAAGAACGCTCTCCTGCCATCTTCCCTGTCTTACTCACAGGTGGAAAAGAAACCACTAAAACCCAGCACCCAAGAAAAGTCCAAACAAAAAGTGACTGTAAAACCTTGTGAAATAATTCATGTCAACCCTCTGAGACTCCATTTCCTTAACCATAAAATGAAGATTTAAATAAACTCATTGTGGTAGTAGTACTCGCCTATGATCCCACCACTCAAGAAGTTGAGACAGGAAGATTACCTTCAGTTCCAGACCAGCTTGGGCCACCTGGTGAGTTCAAAGTCTGCCTGAACTAGAGTGAGACCCTGTCTTTAAAAAAAAATAAAAAGAGGGCTGGGGATTTAGCTCAGTGGCACCACACCTGCCTTCCAAGTGCAAGGTCCTGTGTTCAATCCCTGGTACCAAAAAACAAACAAACAAACAAACCCAACTCACTGTAACGATGAAACAATTCATGGGAAGTATACAGCATTATTCTAATCAGCAATTATTACACTTTAGCCATTAGCTTTATTTTTACTGGTGACTATTCTTTCATTCTGCCATGATAAATTCTGGCCAAGAATTTATCAATTGATCACACTTCCAGGACACAGGCAAGAAGGTAAGTCAAGATACTAATGAAAGGGCCAGGGATTTAGCTTAGTGGTTCCACCGCCCGCCTCACAAGCACAAGGTCCAGAGTTCAATCCCGGGGGCCAAAAAAAAAAGTTTATATGTTAAAAAAAAAAAAAAAAAAGATACTAATGAAATACTTCAGTACTTCAGAGAGATGGACATCATTGTTTACTGTGGTTCTGATAATATATATATCCAAAAATAGGGTACTTAATGAACTATCTCTAATGATTACATTTAGACAGAAGTCTATAGTGGAATGGGGTATAGCCCAGTGGCAGAACACTTGCCTAGCATACATGCACAAGACCATGAGTTCAATTCCCAGCACATTAAAAAGAAAAGACAGGGCCAGGGATTTAGCTCAGTGGTTCCGCTGACTGCTTCGCAAGTGCAAGGTCCCAAGTTTGATCCCCGGTACCAAAAAAAAAAAAGAAAAGAAAAGAAAAGACAGTTGGGCTGGAGATTTAGCTCAGTGGTGCTGTGCTTGCCTTGCAAAAACATGGTCCTGAGTTCAATCCCCAGTATAAAACAAAACAAAAGACAGTCAAACAAGTCCATAGTGCTACACAATCTCTAGGATACTGTTCTCAGCATAGGGAGTGCGATCAGGCATGTCAGCAAACATCAGCTCACATCTTCACTTTCCAAAGGCTGATTGATCATCTTGGGGGAAATCAAAGTTGGAAGAGAAATTATGACTTAGCAATTTCACAGCTGACCAGGTGCCTAAACTTAACTAGGTTATTTAACTTCTCTAGGCCTTGAGTTATCTATCTATGACAGACTGTCCTGATTATCACATACAGTGTTGAAAGACTTAAGTGAAATGAATAAAAGGACCTATAAGTTTGGTAATGACACCAGTGATCATAAAAGAGTGTTATTCTATTTTTCAGTGCAAGATCCATTAGCCAGAAAGATTCTAAGTGTAAATGATGTTGAGCTCAAAGCCTGTCTTGTAAACAGTATATTATGGTCTTAGTACATGTTATCCTTACAAAATCCTATCTCCCACTACATCAAGGTGCCCTCTTAATTACAAAAAACTTACAAATCATAAATTTTTTATTATAAAAGTACAAAATGTTGTTATATATAACATATACAAAGGTATAAAACTGTAAATAAGTCTTAATTATCAATTTAAAAATACATGTCAATTCTATATTATGATTATTATGGCCAGTTACAGGGACAAGTCATTAGACACAGGAAGAGAAAGACATGGTCACAAACCATAGGATACACAGAGAAATGAAAGATATGTGTAGAATAACACAGACAAAGGTCATATGGTGGCATGAAAAACATGTTGCTGAACACATTTTAGTCCTTAGGTACCCTTGCCAGTCAGGGTGTTGGCCAATTCACAGGTCAATTCTTCACCTATCTCCACATCCACTCTCAAAGATCTGGCCTCAGGCCTTACTCAGTGTTCACAGAATAAAAATAACTATTAAGTCTTAATGGCATCCACCTTCTAGACCATATGTGGTCAAGAGACTTGGTTAACAAGTGCAGCAGAGCCTATCAGAGGCATTCAGGGAGAAGGGCTCTGCTGTCAGCCACCTCAGACTAGCCCTGCATCCCCAAAACATCATTTTCTACCAGAGTTCCTTATTTTTGTAATTGGTGAACAGGCCGGAAAACAACTATGGGAGGGGGCAGAGAAACTAAGTGGTAGACGAAATTGGAAACATTTCATGACATGATTTTTAAATTTTTTAAATCTCATTGTTCAAGACTTAATGCCTCATAGACAAATTTTCTATTCTGTTTATCCTAGACTAAGTTTTCATATTAAGAATTTTTAAAATGCTATGTTTTCCAAGGTTCTGATTCTCAAAACATCTCAACTAGGCAAAATTCAGTCTTAATTTCACTCAAGAAAATTTAAAGTCCATTAGAAATCAAAATTACTCTACCACTTGCAATTGGCATTATTTGTAACAATCAAATTACCATAAATTGTATATAAGCTAAAAAATGCATACTGTGAGAAAATCCTGCTCAAATTTGTATGCTCCACCTCCAGTGGCACAAAAGACTGTGTGGAGACTCGAGAAGTTTTTATCTCTCCCCATTTGAATAAAAGCAGGCATGTCATGAGTGGGAAAGCGTATAAAGTGCAGATTGCCTTTGCGTCCACACAGAGTCAGGTCCTTCAGCTCAAGGTGCACATCCCGAATGCCCGCAGACCCATAAGCCACATTGGAGGTCAGGTACTTCCGAATGCTTTTAAGACTCTCTACTTCTTCCTCTTCTTCTTCAGCAGTGATGTCTTTGGGTTCAAAATAAACCAGCTTGACCAGGGTACCACCAATATCCAAGCCAAACCATGGAAAAACTAAATGAGAAAGAGAAAAAAGTCAGAACAGCTTTTTTCTACTAAGTTTACATTTACTATATTGGCAACTCATTTCATACTCTGTGGTTTCAAAAGAGTGTAATTCTAAACAAAAAGGTTTTTTGGAAGAAGAAATTTGATTCTGATTTGGAAAAAACTAGGACAAAGATCAAAAAGAAAAATATCGAAGTACTGAGCCAAACCAACTTTCCTAAACAGACAAGTCCAAACTGTAATGTGGGATTTTTTTTTAAATAACTACCATAAGTTTTAATTCTGCAAAACAGTGACTGAAGAATGAAAACTTTCATTCTTTCATTCTTCCCACTGGCTTAAAAAAGAAATGTTAGGACCGCAGGGCTCTGGTTTATACTCAAACTGGATAAAGGAAATTTCCAGCCCTACCTAATAACCGCCACTGGTTAAATTTCTCTTAAAACCTGATATCCTAAAAATAAAAGATTTCAGTGGCCAAAACCACCTTAAAAACAAATGTCTTTGAATCAAATGGACCACAAATATATGTGCCTTTCCCTCCCACACCTAAATCCTAGAATGACTAAAATTATAGTTACTAAAAACCCATTCTTTTTTTTTTTCCTTAAGTTTATTGGTACATTTTCGGTATAAAATACAGTTACATTCATCATTGGGATCTTGTACCTTTACATGAGTATCTCGGTTCTTTTTTTTTTTCCCCTTCCCTTGCCCTCCCTTCACCCCCTCCACCCCTCCCTATTTGCAAAGACCTTGTTTCCATTTTTTTCCTCTTCTCATATTTTTTCCTTTCCCTTTTTTTCCTTCCCCTAC